GTTACTTATAGAACAATAGCATGACATTTTGGGTCACAAGGTCTCGATTTTACTTTAAAACCATTCGATCATATTTTTGAATATCTTAAAAGACTTGTGTAAGTTAAACAAACTAATTTTTTGAGTATCTTATTTATAATTGAAATATAATGGAATTCACGATACTTACATTCATTCATAGTGAAAACTAGTATTAGTTTACTCATTGAACAATATTATTGATTATTATCGGGCGAATTTTTTTTTATCAATCTTGGTATCGAAAATGGAGTAAAACTTGTATTCGCTTATTTTCATATGGATACGAGCGAACATAAAATGACAAAAACAAAAAAAAAAGTTGTAGTACCCAGCCGTTTGAAATGACAGCATGTTGTTTTGAATTATGGAGTCTGGACTTCACTCCAAAATTAATTGATCGTGTCTTGAAACATTTTACAAGAGTTGCACATGTTAAACGAGTTAGTTTGTTAGGTATCTTATCTCTTAATTGATATATAATGGAATTTAGGTTACTTTCATTTATAGTGAAGTCTAGAATAGTTTACTCACAAAAGAATATTATTCATTACTATTGGATGAACTTTTATATCGACCTTGATATTCAAACGTAGTGAAAACTTGATTTCGATCATTTTTATATAGATACGAGTAAACATAAAGTGAAACAAATATAAAAATAGTTGAAACGACATTCAACCATTTAAAATGATAGCACGTCATTTTGGGTTACGAAATCTCAATTTCACTCCAAATTTAGTCGATCTTATATTGAAACATCTTAGAAAACTTATACAAGTTAAACAAGCTAATTTGTTCAGTATCTTACCTCATAATCGGAATATAATAGAATTTGAATTACTTAGTTTCATTCGTAGTTAAATCTAGTGTAGTTTACTTACCTAACAATAGTGTTGATCATTATCGTGTGAACTTTGTATCAACACCGTTGTTCACAATGAAAATTTGCATTCACTCATTTTCACATAGATATGAGTGAAAACAATGTGATACTGATAAGAAATTAGGTTAAACAACACCCAATAATTTTAAACGACAACTTGCCATTTTGGTAGCGGGTCTCGATTTTACTCTAAATATGGTTAAAATTTTTCTACTTTCGTTTTCATGTGTGCACGAGAGAATATAAAGTAAAACAAATACAAAATTAGTTAAAACGTCATCAAATCGTTTATAACGATATCATGTCATATCGGTTATGAATTTTGAATTTCACTCAAGATATAATTAAAACACGTTTTATTAATTTTTATGTGAATTAGAGGGAATGTAAAGTGATACGAATACAAATTTTATTAAAACGGCACTCAATCGTTTAAAAAGGTAGCATGCCATTTTGCCGTTGGTTTTAAATTGGGTATGAAAAGTAAGAATGAAAGTGGGAATTCTGTTATGGGATTTTGGTAAATTTTAATTTGAAATTGGACATTTTAAACATTTCAAATAAAGGGTATTTATGACTTTTAATACATGATAAAAAAGACCAAATGTTATTTTACCAAACATTATTGATATAGGCTATTTTACCAAACATTATTGTTGACTAGGCTTTTTAAACAAATCCCCCATTTTACAATTATTCTGACAAAATATTAGAATTTGAACAAATTGACGTATATCTTTTGGGTAATGTTGTTGAAAGACTTCGATGAATACATAGTTGAAGTACTAAAATGTTCTCGTCCAAAAACATTCAGGAATAATTAAGACCATTTTAAATTGCGCGGAAGTCTTTAGTGTATTTAAAAANTTAAACCTAGTTTTTTAATTAACGTAGATAATTAATTTGTAGAACATCCACTTAAAAAATATATCTGCCAATGCCCAAAACTTGTAACTATCATTGATCAGCTTTCATTTAGCTTCTGTTCGGGCTCCATTTTTCAAAAAATGCATTTTTCAAAACTCTGTTTCAATCACAGAGTTTCTCATAAAATAATATTACATATAAATTCAAAATTTTCTCTTATTTTTAACCATATATTTTTCGAAAAATCACTACTACATTACATTTTTTTTTTTCCAAAATTTCATTTTAATGGAAGGTAAGCAAAATTCCCTTAAAATGGGCTCATTAATTTATCTTAATTTGCACTGAATTACAAGTGGACTCTTACGCAAAGTCCTCGTTGCCGTGCTACGTTTAAGCCCCTGTTTGTCTAACATTATTTCAAAAAATTATTTGTTACAATAAAATTCTTCTCCACACATTCACTCGACGAAATATTTTACATACAAATCAATAAAATTACTTTCCTTTTCGATCACACGTTCTTTGAAAATACTATTCATAACTCTAAATTAAAAATGGGACAGAACTAAAGACCCGGCATTAAAATCATTTCAATGACCTCGCGTTCTCACTCAATCTGACCCGTTTTCTATATCGGCTTCGGATATCGCCGCCGATTGACGTTCCGATGCTGTCCACCGTTCGACTCTTCTCCCTTCTCCTCGCTTCCTTCTTCATCCTCTCACTTGCGTTCGCCTCCGAGTCCGATCACAAGGTATACTTCATTAAATTTTTTCATTCACTTGATGCGTTTCAACAGAAAACGCCCTAATTCTGCTGCTTTCTGTTTATAGTATCTTAAGTTTTGGTTTAAAATGGTTAAATTTCTGAATTAATCGGAGGTTAATCAGATCTGTCTAAAGATATCTGAATTGTGTGGTTTTACTGTTCACTTCTGCTTCTAGGTGACTTGAGGGTTTTGAGTATTATATTTGTTAAGGATTCGATTTTCTGCTAATGTGAATGTTTTTTTTTTTACGGGAAATCGTATTATAACTACAATTTATGGGTATATATCTCGATTTTTGATGTTCTAATCGCATTATAATGTGCATCGTGTCAGTTAACCACCTCAAAATGATTGGTGTATATCTAGAATTGCTAAGTTTGTGGTTCTTGAAATTTCAGTACGATTTGGAACCTATTTGTTATTTATTGTTTAAACAAAGTGATGTCATGAGTTCGAAGGCATCTTCAAGTTATGCGGTAATCCTCTGATTATTGGCCAGCAAAATAAAAGGTTGAAAAACTTAAAGACTGCCGTCTGGTTTCTCATCAATATTAACACCCTTCAAAAGAAGTGTTCTCTCTGCAGAACAACATTATTAACCTTTTGATAAAAATGAGGAACTCTTCTATTTTACGGATATTTGTTTGCAACATGGTAAACTATGCAGTTTTTTACGCAGTTCAATAGTTTTTTAATTTGTTGCAATGTTTTAAAAAGGCTTAGGCCTTGAGTTCCAACTTTAGTGAGGTTTCAATTGGGGAAAATTAGGGAAAACAAGGCATTAAGTATCTCCTTTTTAAAAATCAGGTTTTCAACTTTTTTTTAATTTATCAGGTTTTTTATCTTTTTAATTAAATAATTAACTCTTTAAAACCTAATTTATCATTTTATCCCACACAACCCTACCCTATCGTTTCTCTCTCTCTCTCTCTCTCTTTCTCTCATCACCGCTGCCTCCTCCCTCACTC